CGTTGTATTCGGCGGAAGACTGTAGGACTGTTTCTACTAAGGTAAGCTCGTAGAGTGATGGCAGTCGGATTATTCCACATATTGGCCGTAGTGATGGCAGTCAGATTCTTCCACATATGGCCGTAATGATGGCAGTCAGATTCTTCCACATATGGCCGTAATTGCAGTCAGATACATTTAGGAAAAACCCCAAATTCAGATATAATAACTGTACATTGTATTCGGGGGAAGACTGGAGAACTGTTTCTACTAAGGTCTTAGTGATGGCAGTCAGATTCTTCCACATGGCAATGTGATGGCAGTCAGATTCTTCAACATATGGCCGTAATTGCAGTCAGATACATTTAGGAAAAAGCACTGGTGTGAGTATACCCTAAAACGACTACATCAAAAAAGGAACAACAGTGCACAGTCATCACTCTTTTTCCTTCTTTTCTTTTCTTTTCTTTCCTTTTTTTTTCATTTTTTTGTAAAGCTGCCTTCTCCTCGGCGGGGGACAGCCATATATTTTTCTCTCACCTCGCAACAAGGCACATTCATCACACTACAAATTCATAAACCCATCCGCTGGCCTAGCTCAGTTGTTTGCATGAGAGAAAGCATCCACCAGCAGAACCAACCAAATGGGTGAGTTGTCCTCTTTTTTCTCGGCGGTCATCATTATGCATCTTACCATGCTTATCACCGTAGTCACACAACATTTTTAAAAATGCGACAGAATACGGAGGCGGCAGCTCATTTTATCAGTTCATTTTTTATCCCTACTCGTCAGAGGGAGGTCAACGCTGCTCTCCTCTTCATATTCGGCTTTAATCTTGTTATGAAGGCACGCTGGACCTGTTTTCCAGCACGTGCAATACATCATCAGTAGATTGAAGCCGTCATAAAAGGGGGACCGTCATCTGTCGGGGGGTGCCCAGTGCCCAAATCACGACCTTCAGCAGCGGTCGGCCCTTCATGAATGCTTTCCTGTTTTGGGGGGGGGGGGGGGGGGGGGAAGAAAAAAAAACGACAACAAACAAATCATCAAGACTTTTCCACTTTTAGTCCATTCGTCCACAACTTCTCATAAGCATGAGCTGCATGACCATTAAAGGTTTTTCTTTCTAGGCTGTTTTTTTCCGGGCGCCACGGCACCTACCTTACGTCCGGTTACGTGCCCGGGTGCCCGGCCGGGCATGCCCCCCGGGCACGGTTCCGGGCAGTCCCAGTGCAAAAAAAAAAAAAAAAAAATGAAAAAATTCTGGGAAAAAATATGTTGCGTAGAATTGCAATACGAATGACTTTTTTTACGTGCCAGGGTGCCCGGCCGGGCATGCCCCCCGGGCATGACCATTAGAATTCCTCACAGAATCGAAGATATAACAGAATCACACACACTAAGGCATCCCCTTCTAAACCCCTTTAGCCCCTTTAAACCACCAGCACACGGCCCCAGCCTTGCTAAACAAAAACGCATCGCCTGCAAAAATTTTGGAGGCCCAGGCAGCGCCGTACGTGGGGTTTAAAGGGGCTAAAGGGGTTTAGAAGGAGGCTCCTCCCTTTGTTCGTTTGGTATTCGATGATCGGAGCAAGTTGGTTGCTGTTCAGAAGCTAGCGAATGATGAGTTGGGTGAGTTGTCCCTTCCACCTTGTGTAATTCGACGCACACGATGATCACTCCACATCATTTGGATACGCAATCCAAGCGTTGCGGATTTGATTCACAACCATAGGGCGTGCGCCCGATTGATGACAACTTTGTTTGCACGGAATGTTGGGTATGTACCGACCATGAAGCCTGAGAAGACCGTACTGATGGAGACGGAATCGACCTTGCAAGAGTCTGGAATATCGGAGTTTGCCAGACGGGACAGGAAAGGTTCCATTGGCATCAACATGGAATCGACCGTGAAAGAGTCTGCGATTTCGGAGTTTGCCAGACAGGACAGGAAAGGTTCCATTGGCCCCAACTTTGCGATGCCAAAACACAAGGATCTGGAACGATTCTGCCCCATCTGCCCTCCGTATTCTTAACCAACTACACGGTCAAGTAACGTCGTTGCCAGAGCCCTTAATCATTTGTTGGATTGGCTCCCCCCGGACTGGCATTTTAATCTGAAAGCAGCATCGATGTTGAAGGAACGATCGGAAGGCATTAAGAGGAAGGCGGCTTCCTCGGACACAGACCCAAGTTTGGTAGCACAGTCCTTTGATACTAAGGACCTGCTGCCACATAGGGAGTATTAGGGAGATATTGGACGGAGTCGACTGGCTTTTGGATTTTCACGAGAGAAAAGGGAGGAAATCTGTTCGAGTTACCCCGCCCGCGGGGTAAGGGCTCCAGTTTCGGCGTTACGACTGGTCATGATCACTGGAGGAGAGTTCAGCTCGAAGAGATCCACAGGTTCGTGAGATTCGAACTTTCTCACACACGTACCTACGCACTGGGTGTCCTGCTTCAGTAGAAGTTCAGGATTCCTATGGGGAAGAGTACTTCTCCCCCACTTGCGTGTATTATGTGTTCTCGAGCTGAATATCTTTTCCTCTGTAGCTTGGGAAACAGCGGAGTGCGGTGTTTGGAGTTCGCCTAATCGATGATGTCAGTCTGTTTATCGCAGCAGGGCATCTTGAGACAACCAAGTACAGACGACATATTCATTCATTCCGCCGATTAGGCGAGGGTACGGTGCCTTTCTTTCGGAATTTGCCAGATGTTACCTAGATAACCTTACATTAAAAAGAACGGACAATGGATCTGGGGCTTGGGATTTTTTGGGGTGCGAGGTAAGGACTAACAGTCATCCCCCTTTCACTGAATGCATTCAGATCTCTAAAAACGAGGAGACGTTATGGATGGATGAGCGTTGGCCAGTCTTACTTCTCTTGGGGCAGCAAGATCCAGAAGAGTGTTGTCAGCCAGTCCTTGCCAGCCACCTGCATCGTATTGATAGCAATACATCTGCGAGGCGTGAGATCCATCTGCGACGCAGAAGAGTGTTGTCCTTCTGCATCGTCTTGATAGCAATACATCTGCGAGGCATGAGATCTGTTTCATTGAAAAGGGAATCTGCGAGGCTGAACGATATTCCTACTGATTTTTTCCTTCGGGTACTCGACCGCTTTGCCCACAGGCGAGATGCCCATTGGAAACTGGCGGTCGACTTGGTAATAAGTTGATTAGAGTGAACTTTTCCATCTGCGAGGCTGTAACCGTATGGAGATGAGGTAGCGACAGGGCTTGCGACAAGGTTTGGCCTTTGTGATGATTCTGGGAAGTTTTGATTGGATTCGAATTAACTTGTATCTCCCGAGGATATTTAGATGTAGTGTTGCCACTTGAGCCGGGGCCGGAACTTTGAGATGGATTTGGCTCGTTGCCTCGAGTTTGACTACTAGGCCTCTTGAGCCCAGGCCTGGTTTGGTTTGGTTTGGTTTGGACTTCGGCTCGGGTTGGGTACAGTCGTGGTTGAGGACGACGGCCCAGTACAGTAATGTTCTTCGTGGGCCGTTATCATGCGTAGGGGAGATAGGGAGACGTCGTTCTGTGTGGAGTGTTACTTAGGACCCTCGAGCCCGGGTCGTTGCGTCGATCTGTATTGGCTTATTTTGTCGTTTTGTTCTGGCCTCTGGAGCCCAGGGCTTTAGTTTGTGTGTGAAGTTTTTTGGCTCTATACGAGTAAGGCCCAATGAATGTGGCCAAAGAAGTGGACTAGGAGTAGACATTAGGATACCGGACGTATTTCGTCATGGGATACTGCTCGGTGTAACTTCCGCTGTTCTTTTCTCTGTACTATTCTGGAAGGATCGATTTGGCACTGGACTTTAGCACTCGGCCAGGGTACTTAAGCAGTGTGCGGTACTGTAGTAATCCTCTTTCCGTGGACGGTCCATCACGGCTTTTGCCGCGATAGACCGTGGGTATGTGGTATGTTCCGCGGACCATTGGGATTGTGGTTGGAATTGAAGGTTTACCGATTGTCCAATGGTACAAGTTCTTTCTAAATCAATAATAGCGATTTCATTTCATAATCCGTACAGATATGGCTGAAAGTCTGAAGTAGGTGTACGATTACCTTCTACTTGTACCATTGCTTTACTTGTACCATTGCTTTCTGCTTATACAAGTGTTGTGTACGGTTCAATGACGAGTGTAATCGCTTTGACTCAACATGGTCCTGGTGGTTTAAAACCAATTTATACCCCCCTCCCCCCCTCCTTGACAGCCAACTCACAGAAAAAGACATGAGCCCCGATTCGGGGTACATCGGGTGCGCAAAGAAAACCAAAAAAAAAAAAAAGAAAAAAAAAAAGTTCATATTTAGTCGATAACGTACGACCACATGAAGACCACAACAAGTATATAATACGACTCAGGCCCACCAGGGTACCCCACGCGTCACGCCCGGATGCCAGCAGAGGACCAGCTAGGCGTGAGAATCTTCCTAGTTTTTTTTTCTCTTTTTTTTATTTTCTTGTTTTCAAGGTCGATGGTCGTCCAAAAAGAAAGCATGAAAGTTCTCTTGGGAAAAAAAAAAAAAAAGGCATGACGATGAATGTTAGCAAAACCAGTACATGACGTGAAATATGAACTTAACAGTAATATTCCAGATAGATTCATACTGGTCCCTCCTCCATCCCTTCCCACGCAATCTTCACTCGGTCGGACTCTAGTCGAGCCCGGTCCGAGCGCAGGAATACGATGCATCCTATTCGCCAACGTTCGGGACGGGCCGAACGAACGCCCGTCCCTCTTTTTACCGAGCAGGAACACGCCGCTTACAAACAAAAAAAATGCCCCGGCCTTATTGATCCTGCATTTCTTCCCCCGCATAATCGTCACTCGACGTTAGCAGAGCTCGCTCTGGAAGAAGAGATTAACAGAGGTCTGAACCTCGTTAGCAGAGCTCGCTCTGGAAGAAGAGATTAACAGAGGTCTGAACCTATGGGGGTCCACTTTGCGAAGAGAGTTTTCACAAATGAACCGACCGACCCTGCAAAAAAGCGAGAAAAAAAAAACTGACGGCCCGTTTGCTTTATTAGAAAAATAAAGAGATCGGGAGAAGAAAAATCTTCTCACGATTCATCATCAAACGGAAAAAGGAGCACAATGTATAAGCCCATCACAGATTTGAAAACAAATAAAGAGTCCCCGGCACAGATTAGAATCTACCCAACCTACATAAGTGCACCTTGCAAAAATAAAGAGTCCCCCGACTCACCCGCAAGCGCGCCGGATTTCCCGACCCACTAGCACTATTTGAAAAAGGATCCATTCCTCCGTAGAATGCCCACCCACCCACTCACTCTTCAGAATGACATGCCCGGTCTGGGACCGTCAAGACTCGAGCACCCAGCAGCCCATTACTCCTCCTTTACCTTCATGCTGTCCACAAAGGCCAATGTTCAAATTCCTCTCTCTCTCTCTCTCTCTCTCTCTCTCTCTCTCTTCCCCCACTGTGGCATACTGCGTAGCCACACCGGCCCTACAGGGCCCGTCCCGGACATTCAGCCTAAAAGCCTAAAACTTAGGGCTTACAGGCCCCATTCATTTCAGCCTGGATGCTGAAAAACGAGGGCCTGCAGGCCCTACCTCGTTTCAGCCTATTTCTGGGTCTTTTCAGACCCAGAGTTTTCAGCCTGAAACGGAGGGCCATTTTCAGGCCCTCATTGTTTCGACCTGCTCCTAAGACTCAGGCACGGAAACAGGGATGCGGAACAGGCCCAAAATAGCCTGTTCCTCACGCACTCGGGCAGGAGCTGCAGCTGCAGCTGCAGCCCCTGCCTCCGTTCGGCAGGCTCAAGAGGCACACCCGTAGTACATAGGAGGTTCCCATGCACTTCAAGGGGGGGTGGTGTCAGTAGGTAGAGGTAGTCTTCAGGATTCAGCCGCAGCACTCAGGAGGAGCGCTGCAGTAGTCTTCAGCGCTAGGCAGTAGTGGTAGCGTTAGCTGTAGTCTTCGGCGGTGGGCGCCATAGCTGTAGCTGTAGCTGTAGTCTTCAGCGCTGGGCGCTGGTAGGTAGTAGATCGTAGAGTGGGGGAGAGACTGGCGGAGGCCAGTGTTACTTACCTGTGGCGCCATCGCTCCAGCTCCATCTTCGTGGTACCTGCATCAAGGCGCCAACTTCACAGGTTAGTACTGGACACACAGAGAGAGAGAGTTCTTCTTCCTCTTCTAAGTCCACCTTCTCTTCTCACCCTCTCGCCACCTGACTTCTCAGACTACGACAGAGAGAGACAGAGTTGTGACTTGAGACTTGACGACATTGGATCCAGACTTCACATTTGGGATTCAGACAGTTCGACGAGGGACTATTTGGGCTTGTGCCGAAGACTTGGTGTTGACAACATTCCCATCTTCCCCCTCCTCTTCGTCTATCCCCTTCCTCCTCGTCTGTGCATGTTCTGGGCTGGCGCTGTCTTCCTGTGTGGAGCGCCAGACCCATTCACACTATGAAACGATGATGATGATGTATGTTCAGCGCTGCATTACAACATTGATTGTTCGGATCACTGGTATCTAAGCCTTCCGCTGTGCTATCTTATACCTTGTATGGAAAGGTCGGTTCTTGTTCTGGTCTGCACCTATACGGTATGCAACACCCACCCTCCACCCTCCCCTGAGTACAGAGCAGCGCAGCTAAAACCTTTCTCAGACCTTGGCCGCATTTGTGAAGATCTCTCTCTCTCTCTCTCTCTCTCTCCCCAACCCCCTCCCCCAACCTCCACCCTCCCCTGAGGACAGAGCAGCGCAGCTATAACCTTTCTCATACCTCGACCGCAGAAGAGACGCGGTCCGCATCATTGATTACTGCCTAACACCCGGCAGACTTCTTCCTTGTGCGCTACTTTTTCCCAAAAGTCGTGGCAGAAATAGCTTAATGGTAAGCATGGCCTTGTCAAGGCTAGGATGAGGGGTTCAAAGCCCTTTTGCCCACTCATCCGTTTCACTAACCGGCCAAGAACAGCAAAGAATGGAACCCACACTGCACATGCATCACAATAATCTGGCAATAGCCTACCTGACGTAATCTAGCAACAGCCTACCTGACAAGCCGACATTTTCTGTTGCCGTCCCTCGTTTCAGCACCTCTCCTGTGTCACTTGGAAGTGCATCTTCAAAAATCCACCGGCAAATTTGATCAATTTGATCTATATTCTTCGTCTCCTTCCAGTCGTGTTGCTTCCGCCAAGGGAACCTATCCCAGATCCGTACTACTCTTTGTTGAGAACCTTCACTGTAGCTATATCACATTCCGCAATCTCCGTGCGGAAGATTGCGACGTTCAGCTGCAAGAAGAAGAGCGCGCCTCGATCGGAAAAACGCTCCTTTATGAAGTTTTTAATCCCTTTCCGAGTTTCATGGTCATCTTCATCAGTGACATACAGCAGAGAACTCTCCGATCCCAGGAGAACACACCGCTATCGGCATTTCCGCCGCGTTTGCAAGAACATGCTTCCTCACTTCTTTGGAGCAGGGCCATTGGCAGAAATCACTGCTTTGACTGGCGGGTTCATCTCGGACCACGCCTCGATCCACATAGCCATGGCATTTGCAAGATTGATGAAGTAATTGTCCACCTTTGAGAGTTTCTCCTTGACTTGCTTTGCGAGCTCCAGATAGCACAGTTCGGGCGTCGTCGCTTCTTCAGAGAACTGCACAGACTGAAAAAAGGGAATGATGTCCTCCTGCCAATAAATGCCCTTGTATTCCTTCCTCAGATTCACAAAGGGGTTGCTGGCTTTGCTGTGCCAGATGTACGGCAAGCCTGTTTTCACACCGTAACCAAGGTGATCGCAAATTACCTGCGCGAACAGCAGAGCCGACCCGGGCCCGGCCAGAAAATCCCAGACAACATCATCGCATGTCAGCAGACAGAAAACCATCGCATGTCAGCATCACCTTGATTGTGAGCGGTAGCTACTAGCTATGCTTGCAGGGATCCCCCCCCTGAAAGGCTTTTAGGAGTAGTCGTAGGTAGTGAAAGGCGAAAAGGAGAGACGAATATGGTCAGAGAGGGAGAAGAGGACAACAAACGAACTGTTTCGTCGGAGTTTCACCGACTCGTCAGGAGGCTGAAGCCTATCGCCTTATAGTTACAAAACATTTAGGCACCAAGCACCTACTCCTTTCACTTGATTCCTTTTCCTTCTCCTTCCTCTTCTGCTTTTTCAGATCAGTTTTCAACTTTTTCAAGTTTTTCTTAAAAGTTTCTGCTTTTATCATGCGTTTGTTCTGTGTTTTTTTTTTTCTGTGTGCGTGCATGTATTTTATTCTCGTTATTGATTTTTCTGTTCCGTGTTCGTTCTTTCGATCAGTTAACATAATTCTGCCTGATTTCCTTCCTTCCTTCCCCCCCCCTGATTTCTCCCTGATTGCAGAGACAGTCACAACCACATGGTGTCAAGAGGAGGACAGGGCAGACAGTGCGAGTTACGCATCACTCGATTTGAATCGAAAGGCGATATTCACAAAGCACAACAATTGCACCCGAACATCAGTGAGTGTGCTTCAATGGACGCCTGTCCCTATCTCATCGCACTGATAACTCCAAGACTTCACAGAAAGTCAACCTTTGTCGTTAATAACCCCACGACTTAACAGAAAAGTGACATTCATCGCTAATACCTCCAGATTCTCCACTTTCAAGATGATGCCTGCCCCACTTGCAATGCAGAAACGCCACTGAACAGTGATGATCAGATACAGAGCACGTGTTCATTGACGCACTCATGTTTGGGTGGAATTGGTGCGCTTCATGAATATCGCCTTTCGGTTAAGCCGAGCGATGCAAAACTCGCACTGCTTGCCCCGTCCTCCTCTCGACGCCACATGTCAAAACAATTTACGGAGGTTCCGCAAAGCACCATCGGACCAGCTGAACTCGACTCCCTCCACCAACATCCTACCATAATGTTGCCGCATCTAGTCACCATCGGACCAGCTGAACTCGACTCCCTCCACCAACATCCTACCATAATGTTGTCGCATCTAGTCAAAGAACGCCATCGCTGTTAAAGAGGCTCGATAACGCATCCAGAACGTCCATCCGCTGGCATCCGGATAGAATCCACCAGCAAACGACTTCTCTGCCCAAACCCCAAAGATGCTTGATGTTCTCAGATTCACCTTCAACAACTGAATGATCTACAGACTTCGTTAACCAACCAGTGGGTGAGCAAGATGCGAGCAATTGGATGATCGTCAGACTTTGTTAAAACCACCAGGTGCCTGAGCACAATGAGCCGGTTCAACCACCGGTACATCTGGTGATTTCAAACGAGCCTCTCTGGAAAGTTCAGCGACTCAGGGCAGCACCCGCCTGGGGGTGGGCTGCGCCCACTGCCACCCCGCAGCATGGGACAATCTTTTTTTCTACTGGTCCTTTGGACGCCCTGTCCCAAGCATCCGAAAAGTGGGCTGCTCAAGCTACTGCTGAGAATGTAGCGCGTGCTGCTATTCCATTAGGAATTAAGTCAGTTGAAGTGAGAATCAAAGGTTAAAGTTATGGAAATCCTTTGGCCTTACGTGGTTTACAATTAGTATTTGGAGAGGCTCAATCACGACCGACAACTTGGCTGGGTCATGTAACACAATAGCCAGGCAGTTTTCTGCATCTACAGTCCTGCCCGCGCTCAGTTTACTACATTCATGGTTCTTTCCCGTTCCGCTCGAGGAACCGGATACCTAACAACAGACTTTGTTAAGGCTGACAAGCGCGAATGGGCTCCGGCTTCCTGGGCTCTGCTCACGACGTAGAAACTGTTCGCTGTAGGGATGGCGCATTTGGCAAATTTTGCGAAGCACATGCTGAAAGGATTTCAGAAAATCAATTCCGTTTTGCTCCGTTTTCTTTCTCTGATTCATCGCTTTTCTGTTTCATTTTATTTTTTCTTCTTACACAGTGGTTGCACGCCGTTCGCTGCAGGATCGGCGGCAGTCCGATTTGTGTGCTAACGGAACTGAGCCCCTGGGAAACTGAAAAGACACCTCTGCACGTTCCAGATTTAAGACACGGAGTGTGTGCACCTTTCGGCAAAAGAAGCGGGGGGAAATAAAAGAACAAAAAAAAATAAAAAGCAAAGAAGAAGAAGCCATCACAACTTCTATTCAGCTGGGATCTCACCTTCGAGCACCACCCTGCCCACATGTCATCGTATCGGCCAATAGGCTGTCCTTCCCCCATGAGACCAAAGTACATGGCTGGACCGATCAGTTCTCTGTTGAAGCAGAGGTTCATCCCACACATAGGGAACAGCGTACCCTTGGGGACCGTCATGACGGCATCAACATACCTGTACATTATCGAGAGAACAACAGAGTATCCAAGACACTATCCGATAAGCAAACGCAAAAAACAAACGAGAGAAATAAAAATAAAAAGACCACAGAGATAAGCTCTACCAACACAGTGTAATAGTCAAGTGCTGGCAGGGAATTCCCAATTCTCCCACAACAAGCATCCATTTGCTACTCCAACACAAAGACAAAGGCACCCAGACAGACACACAGAGAGAGAGAGAGAGAGAGAGAGAGAGAAACATGTGTGAAAGGCTCTTCAAGGAGCAGGCTCTTCAAGGAGCAATTCACTCCAACCTATAAGTTGACTTCGTACACTCAGCTGAGCTGCCTTTTCTCCGGAAAATATACGTTCCCAGATGGTTCCTTTTTTTCTTTCCATTTAAGGCACCAACAAACCCGTGCATGGAGGCGCTGCACGGCGTGCCAAGCTATCCTTTTTTGGCTGGCATCGCCAGCCATTGTGGTCTAGTGGGCCCGAACCGCAAAATTTTCCGATAGGCAACCAACAAATTTCTGCAAGGCTGGGGCTGTGTACTGGCAGGGTTTAAACCGCCAGTACAGTACACAGCCCCAGCCTAACAAGATCTCTTCATCACCTACTCCTAAAATTTGGGTGGCTCGGGGCAGCCTAGCAAGATTTCTTCTTTTTTTATATTTGTAATTATGGACCATTTCCCGATTTATCCGTGTCATCCTTGCGCAGGGGCCATGCTAATCTTCATTCTCTGTATCATTCCAATTTTAATGGATGTCCCGAAGGACAGCGTTGCAAGATTTCATCATCACCTACTCCTAAAATTTCATAGGCTCGGGACTACCCACGACCACAATGGTTGGTGGCACCAGCCCAAAACGTGCGCCGCTGGCCATTCAGCAAACCTTGGCACGCAATGCACGGCACCGCCAGGCCCGGGTGCACTGGCGGTGGACTTAAGAAATGGTGAAATGGTGTGAAGGCACCATCAGGCAGGCACGTGAAGTGAGCAGGTAACCTTTCAAACCTTTCAAAGAGCCTTGGCGACCACCTCATCGTCAAATCGTTGACACAAGCAAAGGGATTTTCAAATCTAGATTACGATTGCACTCTCTCCTTATGCAATCCTCATCGTCAAATCGTTGACACAAGCACCATCATCCTCTTCCGCATTCACGGTTCCAATAAATAAAAGTTTACTTGGGGAAAGAGGTTAAAAAAAAAAAAAAAAAACTCTAGAATCGTCGATAAACAGGACAAAAATAGAGATGTCGCTACACCTTCAATCAGGTATATCCATAATTGGCCACGATGATAGAGGTCTACCGTTGACGATAAACGGCGGACATTTCTTCCTGTGATCAATCATGCTGCCCCCACCGAATTCACATAGAGCCCTCCCCACACCGCACCGAAACGAAAACGAAAACGAAAACAAAAACAAAAACAAAAACAAAAACAAAAACGAAAACAAAAACGAAAACGAAACGAGTGCATCTGGCCACAAAAGGCGGCAAATACACTCGTTACTAGTTATAGCAATCCGATGAACCTGTGCATCTCCTGTGGGAAGATGCACTCGTTTCGTTTTTCATTTCGAGTGCCGTGCAGCGAGGCCCATATACCACCAGACTCCTTGCCCTACGTTGTACAAAACGTTTGCCTCGCCCGTCCGTCGGGAAATTACATCCATTTCATTTTCAGAAGACCTGCCACTTCAACAATCCACTTGGCGAAATCCATTTTTCATTATCACCTCTGCGAAGGCCGTTCTTGGCACACTAACTTTGTCAAATCCATCGATTCTGACTCGGTCAAGTCCGCCGATTCTCCAACATTCCCCTCACATTGATTATCCGCACATTTCACACTGCATCCAAAATCCATACACACATGAAAACCGACGGCCAAGTTGGCCGATGCTGTACATGCAGGGAACGCTTAGCATCTTTGCCCTAGAATCTATATGCAGACATTGCAGAGCATGCATGCATCCCAATTCCATTTGTCCTGAACTGGAACACAAGGGGAACAAACAAATCCCGCAGACGTACGGTCGTCCACGCCGGCAATTCACACATCTCTTGCGTGTGCAATATCCCCATAATATCCAGATAGAGACCGCACATACAGGGACACGCATTAGACTGCAAAGACCCATGCTTCACGGTGGGATGCCACCATCATTCTCTCACCCAAGGGGAGGATGATCATGCACAAATCTCTTGTGTGCAGATGCACTGATCACAAAAAACACACATGGGGAGGATCATGCGCAAATCTCTTGCGCAGATGCATATGCCGTAGAGACAACATTTTCATCCCTCTTCCCTACACAGGGATGGAGAGCAACTCCGTTGCACGGCACCATGGTTCGCAATAGCTCATCCCTCTTCCCTACACAGGGATGGACAGCAACTCCGTTGCACGGCACCATGGTTCACAATAGCTCTGCGTTGCAACGCAAGATGGGGCAATAGATCTGCTGCTAGTACAGAGAAACCGGCACAGACACCTAAAAGAAGTGGCGACGGGATAAGAAGAAGGACGGGATGGGGAGACAAAAACAGGCAAACAAATGCGCAACCACAGCCAATCAAGCATTTCAGTGACAAGCAAGTTTCAGAAACAATAGCGTTGATGGAGGGCAAATACGGCATAGATATATATACTCACCTCTCATTTCTCTCAGTCGGCTTGACGAGTTGTGTAGGGGCGTCATAATCAGGAATATTTAACCAGAGACCGTGGGAGATGGCGGTCGGAACACCCTCCCTCAAGCTGAAGGGGTACCCGCGCACAAAGTCCGCACCTGGTCTGAAAGGGTCGTACAGAGTGTTGAAATAGTAAGGAGTAGATGGGGTAGTGACATTCGTCAAATGCTGATCGATGGCGTTTATATCCTTGCCGGTCGGATCCTTCGCAACCTGCATTCATCATGTACCAAACGTGCAAAGGCGTAAATGGTGAGTGCCAAGAATAGAAAATCCTCTACACACAGGGAGAGAGGCCAAGAGGCACAACAAGCAAAGAGAGAGATGGACAGTGCACAAGGGGGCGGGGGGGGGGACAGGGGGAGGGACTACAAGGCAAACCTTTCTCATCCTTTTGGCGAAGTAAGATCAAGTGCAATGCATCTGTTCTGATCAGTTCAATAACTGATCCGATGGTCCATCGGACCACACGATATTAAACAACAACAACAAAAAAAAAACAGGAAAAAGGCGACTGCAAGTGGAAAGAACAAGACAAAAAACGGTTCGTAACAGAGGCAAGGGGACAGAAAGATGGGGAGAAGAGCAAGGGGAGTGCAAGGGGGGGAGGAGAGAGATGCACATAATCCCACACACAGAGAAAGGCCAAGAGGCACAGCGGGAGAAGAGAAAGAGATGGGGAGTAAGGGGCAGGGGATGAAACTGCAAGGCAAGGAAAGAGGAAAGAACAAGAAGGAAAAAAGCCAGGGAGAGGAGCAAGGGAGAGCAAGGGAGGAGAGGTGCACAGAGGCAAGGGGAAAGAAAGACAGAGAGAGGAGCAAGGGAAAGAAAGGGAGGAGAGGTACACAGAGTGAGGTGGCGAGAGACAACAGCAAACATACTGGACACATCACAGCTGTGATGCAACAGAGAACAAATCAGCAAAAGAGAGGGTGGCCCGAAGGAAGAGGGCTTAACAAACAGAAGAAACATGCACGAGCAGGAGGGAACGGAAATAAGAAGAGAGAGAAACAAGTACAAGGCACAAGAAACAGAAACAAGCGAGAAGCAAAATGACAGAAATGTAAGAGGAAGGAAAGAGAAGGAAACCACGGGAGGAAAGAGAAGGAAACCACGGGAGGAAAGAGAAGGAAACCACGGGATGGGTCAAAGGGGAGACAAAGGGGGGGTGCCACGGAGAAGATGATCAACGGGAGGGATAGGGGTTAAAGGGGAGAAGAAGGAGAGAAAGGGGAGAGAAAAGGGGGAGAGAAAAGGGGGAGAGAAAAGGGGGAGAGAAGGGGAAGAAAAGAGGGAGAGAAAGGAGAAAGGGGAGGAAGGGGGAGACCAAGGGGGGGTGCCTGGATACGGGTTAAAGGGGAGAAAGAGAGAAAGGGGAGATAAAAGGGGGATAAAAGGGGGATAAAAGGGGGAGAGAAGGGGAAGACAAGGGGGAGAGAAAGGAGAGAGAAAGGGGGGGGAGGGGGGGGGGGAAGGAGAGAAAGTGGGGGKGCCACGAAGAAGAATGAGCAACGGGAGGGAAAGGGGAGCGAAAAGGGAGACAGGGGAGGAAGCAAAGAAGCGGAGTAGATTGAATGGAGGGCGACAATGGAAGGAGAGGAGACTGGAAATTCCAACACGAACAGAAGAGGGGTGAAGTACAGTCAAGGAGGAAACAGGGAGGGGAATCCAGGGAGAGGAAAGAACCAGGGAGACAGGAACGAGGGAGGGGAACACAGAGAACGGGCAATCTAAAAAGAATGCCAGAGAATCGAAGAGGCGGAAGGAGAGCAGGAAGGGGGGGGGGGAGAGAGGAGGGGGGGAACTCAGATTGGGGGGTCAACCTGGACCAAGGAGGGAACCAAACAGAGAGTAGGGGAAGAACCCAGCGCATAGGGGAAGCTCGAACAGACAGTAGGGAGCCAAAATGGGCGGAAATGGGCCGAGAGGCACGGTTGGATAAAAGAGGGGTGGCAGAGGGAACGGCAAACCCGAGAGACAGGGGGTGGGAGGCAGAGGAGTTTACGGAAGAGAAAAAGATTTAGGGGGAAAGAAAAGGCTATAAAGATGAACGAAAGAGGGTCATAATTGGGCTTAAAGAATTAGCCTTAAAAAATAAAAAAAATAAAAAAAAGGGTCATAATGCTCTAAAGCTTGCACAAGATACACATGCATTCAGCTAAACACAGGAGGGCCTCGCTCCACTACACAACACTACATGGATTTGGACGCTTTCTGGACCAGGTGCATTTCCAGGCGTGCGACATTTAGACTGTATCGGGTCCAGAAAGCAGTCAAAATGCATGTAGAGTGTTGTGTAGTGTAGCAAGGCCCATACACGTGCATAACAGCTCCATCTTCGCAAGAGCACACAAATCAGTAAGTACTCCAAATCATCAACCCAACAACAAAAAAAAAAAAAACAGAAAAGAGCAGAGATGAACATCCATCAAAGTACCCAATCCCCCAACATTAAGACAAAAAGAGAGGACACCTCCTCCTCCTCATCCCTCCCCATCCTTTCCCAAGCACGTAACTATGTACATCTATACCCGAACTACTCTTACGCAAAAGCATGGAAGCTAACACGCCCTATTTCGTTGTTGTTTTTTTTTAACATACAATCCCCTTTTTTTTCTGAAACATACAGTCCAGTTGCTTATCACAGGCAAGCATCACCGTTCGCACAGAAAAGAAGGGGGGATAATAGCAAGGGGCAAATAGCAAGAAAGAGATAGCCTTAAAAAAAAAAAAAAAAAAAGAAAGAAGAGAACCTTACCCTTGAGGCTCTAGACGCCTGTCAAGGGGGTGGGCTGCTAAACAAACAAACACCCCATATTTCACAAGTCAGGTTTCATGTTCCCAAGTACGTCGATGATCGACTGAGCTGTTTGTTTGGGATTTTTTTTATTTTATTTTTTTCTTTTTCGACTGAGCGACTGAGCTGTTTGTTTGGGATCGAGGACCCAGCAGCTCGAATCCTCAGAGACTATAAACGACTCCATTTTTTGCGTACGACCTTGCTCATTACGTAATGAGTCTCGCTTAAAAAAAAAAGAAAAAAAAAAAAGAAAGAAAGAGGTAATGGGCCTCGCTCCACTACTCACCAAATGTGCAGAATGAGAATGAATCTTCCGCTGCAACATGGGATGATACATCCACATTTTGTTTTTTCTGCATGTGCCGAGTAGTGGAGCCACGCCTAATGAGACGGAAAGAAAGTAGAGCAAGAAAGCAGAGAAAGCCTCTCCACATTTTGTGGGATTATCGTTTTCAGGCCTTATATGGCTCCCGCATTCTTTTTTTTTTTTTTTTGCGCAGGGTCAATGTTAACTATTCTTCTCTCCGTACCGTTCCAATTGTAATGGATGTCCCCGAAGGACTCCTTGGATCCGGTTTTCTGTGATTAAAAAAGAAAAAGAAAAAAGAAAAAAGTTTTTCGTGACAATTGCATGCCAAGGCCTATACGATGTTGTGAAAAAAGACCGCCATGAATGACTTCGAAAGAAGTTGATCTTTGCTATCTACGGTCGGTATCTCTTGATTCGTGCAAATGGGACCTAGGCCCCGGCCTCTGAAATGGAAGAATGAAATGAAAATTGAATTATGAGCAAAAAAAAGAAGAGTTAAAAATGAAAAAAACAGAGCGCGTAACAGATAGGAATTGCATCTCCCCAGCTCAATGAAGAAGAGAAAACAACACTTCGGGACTAAGGGCCTCGCCACACCACTCACCAAATACAGAAAATATAATGAAAACAAAGATAGCTGTGTACCTTTCCGTGTTCCAGCGGCAGATTCATTCTCATTTTGCAGATTTGGTGAGTGGTGAGGCGACGACACCTTAACATCCTTCACCTAGAGAACATAGACTTGTTTCCGTAATGCATACTCACACTAGAGACTCACACTAGAGACACACTAGAGACTCACACTAGAAAACATAGACCGGATACTCACACTAGAGACTCTTTTCCGTAATGCATACTCACACTAGAGACTCACACAAAAGACACACTAGAGAACATAGACCGGATAGGCACTCTTCTTCTTCTACTTTTTTATATAAAAAAAAGAAAAACATTTTTATTTAAAAAAAAAAAAACAGAAGCTTACGTTTTACTTTTGTTTTTTACTACTGCTACTTGCCCTATATCTCCCCGAAGGACAAAAGAGAGCTGGGAATAAATATGATCCTCCGGACAGAACATGTAGCTGCACCACTCGCCATCCGCCAAGATGCATTCAAAATCCTGGCGAATGGCGTTTGGCCTACTTGTTTTTTTTTTTCTTTTTCAATGCATCTGGATACGTTTTTTGTCCAGATGCATTCAAAATCCTGGCGAATGGCGAGGGGTGCAAGTAGGCCCATAAGCTGAAAGAAGTACACAAAGCAGTTAGCAAGAGGAAGAAATTAAGGTAAGAAAAGGACTAGAACGAAACAAGCTGCAATCACAATTCTTTTTCTTCAGAAATATAAAAATAAACTACCATTTATTTTAAAACTAACTAATGAGCTAGCATATCCATTTTTTTTCTCCCGCCACAATACCAGTCGATGGATCCTGCGCTCGAGAGCGCGCAAGATTCCCAACAGCCAATCAACTGAGATGCAAGAAAGACTCCCGACGCACGCGGTCTTCGAAGTTGCCTCGAAGTTTCCTCCAAGTTGCCTCGAAGTTTCCTCGAAGTTTCTTCGAAGTTTCTCCGAAGTTTCTCCGAAGTTTCTCCGAAGTTTCTCCGTAAGTTTCTCCGAAGTTTCTTCGAAGTTTCTCCGTAAGTTTCTCCGAAGTTTCTTCGAAGTTGCGCCGCATGTAACAGGTGTATACAGAAGCCATCAACACAAAAAAGGAACCGCTGGAAACGTCTGAAAATGTCCGCACACCGAAATCGGTGGGAGAAAGAGAACGAGACTCCACCGCAGCAGAAATTTCCAGCAGAAAAAAAAAATAAAAAAAATCCAGCAGGTTTGTCGCTACAGGAGGTTACCCGATAGGGAAAGCTTTCCCAATTCAGAAAGTAAAGCGCCGCCTGTCTCAGCCCATCAGGAGGCTGAACCCTCAAAAACAGTCTGCAGCAGAACCACCTAACTGACTGATTACACTGTAAGTGATAATCCACCTTAACCACAACCGGTTGTGGTTAAGCATCAACGACTATATATCGTCAAACAGAACCATCCGGTAAACCGTAGGGGGGCAGAGAGCGAAAAGAGAACACGAAACGAGGGGCTG